TAATCCGTTTGTGTAATATTATTCATTATTATTTCACTATTATTGTATGTATTATGAGTGTTTGCCTGTTAATGGCTTCTTGCTGTTGGCAAACACGTAAATAAATTAATTGAATTGAATTGAATTGAACTGAACTTCTGCATGTCGGAGATGACTGCGTGACCCATTAAGGATAGGTAATGGCTGTACCGGCATTCCCGTAGCTTTTGGTAGGTCTTCCCTTGAGCAGGCGAAGCTGAGGGCTGCACGTCCACAGTCAAACTAAGCTGCAGAAGACAGCTTTTCACGGTTTTTGGAACGAGGAAACGTAGTGATTGTCTTAGAAAGAGGTTCTCACCATTTTATAAAGTTGCAGTTAAAAACAGCTTGCCTTTGTGTAATCGAAAGCAGAGTTTATGTACCGGCGATGGCCGTCATGCACCCAATCTTTTGCGTTCTTTGCACGAAGTCCATAGCGAGAACTCATGTTCGGCTTTTCGTGTCTGTCCGGTCGATACAATACTGCCAATGGTCGGATTCGTTTGAAATTTTATGTGAAGGTTGTGCTGTTCTGTACGACCTCAAAATCGTGCTTATGAATATCGTACGAGTGGTGATAACGTGACGAACGATGAAAGTCGTGAGGTAGACATTGAGTCTAAAGTGGAAGCCATCGAACAAGGATGATTCAGTATCTCTTTATACACGTTGAGAAGAACGCGGGGGGGGGGGGATAATATATGTATTCCGGTACAGATTATACTTTCCTAGCTTGTTTAATTAAGAATGCATTGCAAACACCAAGACAGCACACGATCGTCATGCGTCGTAATAAATGGCACCTAAAGAGATACGCTGTCACAACCAAGATTACATTTTCAGGATATACAATGTAGAAACGCCCTACGTATTTATAGAGTCTGGATATCAGACTCGCATGTTCTTAAAATTTGTGGTAAATTAAGACAAACGTGAAATCTTGTAAATTCTTTCTGGTATTTGCCATAAAGAATGAGTCACTGTTCCAGCGTAAAGATACATAAAAGCAAAACAAAATGGCTGACTTCGTATATTTTGGCCTGATTGAAAGGCTGTAGTGATAAGTAACATGATTTGTTGATGTGGTAAAAGTTACACACTTGCTTTGAAAATTGAAATCTTAGTTGTAGAACCTAAACAACACTGAGAGTGCATTACAATACTCATATGTGTCTACGAATTTTACGAAGTTTGGTAAAAATCTGTCTGTGATTCGTACCATCTACTGTTTTTGTGTATTTGAGGAATATGGAGTTCATTTTGATTTTAACGTAAAACAAGTATTTTATTGTGCTGAATGAAATTTTCCCGACCTTTTTTTTTAGCGAAATACTTAAATGATTACCTAAACCCGTCGAGTTGATTTAGAGATGAAATATGCTTAACAACAAAGGTTGATTTGTACAAGTGACTATATGTTTACCTTGCTGTGTGCAAGATAAGCATATAAAATGCAATGCCAAACGTGACGCAGGACTGACTTTTTTGATAGAGCTCCCAGGAATAATTTCGAATCAGAACCATAGATTAGACGGATTAGAATTCAGGTGTTCTTAATATTTTTCTGACTTATTGTTTCATCTACCATTGCATACCAACTCATAGGCCACAAGGCAATGAATGAGAACAATACATTAAAATCTCAAGGCAGTCCGTTAAGAATGCAACCAACTTACTATTCCAAGCAGTTTGACTTGTTTAAAGAGAGGTCGAGCGAGAAGTGGTGTCACATGCGCAAAGGACTGATTTTGGTCATATGAGATGGACCCGTCCGAAGCACGCGCCAGAGGGGTGTCGGCTTCAGTTGGTTTGTAGCTCTAGCTGTGTTTAGTTCGGTGCGTCACCGCAGCTGAGGCTGTGCGACCCCCACTACTACTGAACTCCCCTCTCTCGACTTACACATCGCGCATTTAGGTGCCACTACTACTCGCCCGACCTCTACGCTGTGATTTTCTTTAACAAAATTCGTCATTAGTAACATGCTTTGACGCTGCTTTCTCCTGAGTAGTTTCTCAGTAACAGGTTTAAATTCTGCTGCCATTCGCATGCGTAACGTCAAGTGTTTTATCATAAGGGCTGTCAATTCCTAGTTCTTGATTTTCCATCCTTCATTTGAGCTGAACAGTTTCTCAGAGAGAGAGAGAGAAAGTAAGGTTTACTAGCAAATACTGGTAACAGTAGAAAACCTTGTTTTCTGATGTCAGGTAAAGAATGAAACATCAGAAAAAATGTACGCGGGCTCCAGAAACACTTCCGGTTCGCGGGTTGACCCCTGTCCCGTCCTCAATCACATATCTCCCTACCCCGCTGCCATTAATGTATTAGTAATGAATATTTGTTTCTTTTTTTCAGGTAAGTAACAATGGAGACCGTAGGTCAGCCTGATGTAAGTACTTGGAATAACACAACTTGAATCAAATGCTTCCGTCATTTCATACTGATAACGTTTTATATCTGTGATTCATTGCGAGTATCCAACATCATGAAGATAACTGAAAATATTTCCAAATGTTGAAAATCTTCAAGTGCGTGGGGAAAGCAACTAGAAATCTAAATGGTATCCATTATGAAATATTAAGAGAAGATCGAATTACGATTTCATTTCGTGTCCTTTCGGAGAACGTAAAAATTAAAACGACAAATATAAGTTTTTCCTCCAGTTGTACTCGCATACCGGTGTTATTTAAGTGAAAAATGGTGATTAGGTTGCTGTTTTATGATCTGGGATAGATTCCGTCAATATAGAACGGGATACAGTTATTTTACAATGAATATTTTAATTGCACTCTTTGCGTAATAGGCAATTTATTCTTAGGTTAAAAAACTGATCTCTTACTCCGTCGTACACACGTGGAGTATATCGGTACTTAGTCATGAACCACAATACGATGCTAAGTTATATGCTCTTCTTCTTCTTCTTCACCGTTATTGGTCGTTGGCGATTTTGTCGGCTATCATGTTGGTGATTATGATTTTATTTACAGCTGCACGGAAAAGTTGTACTGTGGACTGTCCAAACCATTGATTGCCTTAAATTCTTCAGCCAGGATATTCTTCTTTTCCCGTGGCTTCGTTTGTTGGATATTTTTCCTTGCATAATAAGTTGTAGAATTTCGCATTTTTCTGGATGTCACATAATATGACCAAAATACTCCATCTGTCTGATGGCTTTTACAATTTCTGTTCTTGTATTCATTTTCATAAGTATTTCTTCGTTACTTATTCTATCAGTCCATTTAATTTTGAGTATACTCTTATATACCCACATCTCGAATGCCTCTAGACGTTTAAACATCGCCTCAATAACGGTCCAAGCCTCCATTCCGTACAGTAGAACTGTGAATACATAACATCGCACCATACAAATTTGGAGCCCCAAGTTTAGGTCGTGACTAGAGAGTATTTTCTTCATTCGTATAAATGTTGCCCGAGCTCGTTCAATGCCAATTTTGTTTTCAACGTAAGGATCCCACATTTTATTAATGTCACATCTTAGATATTTTGCTTTCATACTCTCTCCAGTGCTTTTCCATTGACGTAAACACCATCATCTTGAACTGCTCTCCCCTTGGTAATGATCATATACTTGATTTTGTTGGTATGTATGCTCTTAGGTTGATGAAATTCTAGAATTCCTTTCTGTGAGATTAATTGGAATAAACGTATTCTGGATAAGACCTAACGGTTATGTAACTTCGGCTGTCTATAAATGTCTGGAAATTCTGTGACTGAGTTATCGATTGTCAACGTGTATTATTATTATTATGAATTGTTTAATTGGTCCACAAGCAGCCAAAAACTTCAGATTATTATTATTATTATTATTATTATTATTATTATTACAGTTACTAATCTCGTAACCTATCTAGATTTTATTAATCCAATAGTTGGCTCCCAGGGTCAAGCTGATGCTGTTTATTTTGATCTTAGCAGTGCATTTGATCTTGTTCCTCATACTCTTCTACTCAAGAAGCTCAGTGCTTTTGGGCTCTCTGATGGTTATGTAAACTGGTTTCGTAGTTACTTAACCAACAGACAATCCCAGGTTCGCGTTTCTGGAACTCTTTCGTCTCCTTTTGTGGTCCTCTCTGGTGTTCCACAGGGATCTGTTTTGGGTCCTCTACTTTTCAATTTGTTTATTGATGACATATGCCAAGTAATTAATCATTCTAAATGCCTTCTTTTTGCTGATGATATCAAAATTTTTCGTGCCATTAAATCTCCCAACAACTGCAATGAACTTCAAACTGACATTGACTCGGTACAAGGTTGGTGCACTGCTAACTTCATGAAACTCAATATTAGTAAAACTACAGTAATTTCCTTCTCCAGGAAAACCACTACTTTGATCTTTGATTACAAACTTTTTCAGTCCTCTTTTTGCCAACAAACTGGAACGTATTCAGCAGAAGTTTGCAGCCCTTTGCTACTATCGTTTCCTTCCCCAAGTGCATTACAGCTACGCTGATGCTTTAGAGTATTTAAAACTCCATACCCTGCGTAAGAGAAGGCATTGCAGTGATGCACTGTTCCTTGCACAGGTTTACCGCGGTTTTAAATGCTGTCCTTCCCTTCTGGAAGCTGTCGGTCTCCGCATCCCTGCTCGGAATCTGAGAGATTTTTCTATGTTCAGTTTTAGCCCTTTGATCAATAACAGTCCTTCTGCTAGATGCACATCAGCTGCTAATGTCATCTGCAGGGATTTGGACATATTCGAGACGAAAATTGTCACACTTCTTCACATTTTATAATAGTATAATTTACTTAATTGATTCATGTTATTTTTACAAATATCCTAATATAGTTAGTATATAATTTTTTGTGTAATTTTTTTCCCCGTATCAATGTATTTTATATATTGCTTGTTTTACCTTTTATGTTTTATTGTGTTTGTGAGTTTATTTTTGTGCTGTATCTGTAATTGGCCATCAGGCTGTTGATACAGCACACAAATAATAAAGAATTGAATTGAATTGAAGGAATTGAATTGAATTATTATTTATTTCACTGCAAATGGGTTTTTACCCGGTGACAGTGGTCCTACGATAAGACACAAAACTATAAGACTCAACAGAACAATGAGACAGATAAAACATAAGACACAACAAAAACAATAAGAAACAGAACGTTGCGATACAGCAAAACAATGAGCCAGAACAAATCAATAAGACACAGAAAACATAAGACACAACAAAAACAATGGGCCAGAATAAATCAATAAGACACAACAGAACATCGCGATACAACAAAACAATGGGCCAGAACAAATCAACATGACACAAAACAGAACGTAAGACACAACAAAACAACACACCATACACAAAATAAAACATTTTGGTTGATCCTTTTGTTCGTGAGTGGAACTGATATATAACAGCCTTCTAAGTGATCTATGGTCAGGGAGGCCACGAACAGTGCAGACACCACTCGGTCAATGGCAAATCTTCAAGAATCCTTTTGACGACCCTATCCCGGGTAAATTGCGCAGAGCGTGTAGCTAACCACTCGCCTCTATATGGAACTGAATTCTGAGTGCTCTCGGAACTGTAAGCTCACGACCTGAAAAATTGCATTCATCAGTTATTTGGTCCACAGAGAAATTGTTCTTTGCTGCTAGTATTCCGACTCCGTGCTTTTCATTTCTGCAGTAAAGTGTAAGCATAAGTTATCAGCATGTGGATTTCAGAGATGCGATAAAAATGTAACATTACTGGAATTTCTTCAGTTTATTCTTATTCTTGTCACGTATGAAGCAATTTAGTCATTCAAAATCTTTATCCAGACGTTTGCTGTATTCTGTGTTATCTTTGTCCATGTACGAGGCGCGTCCACAAAGTAAGTTTCCCACTCGTCCCACAGCTAGCAAACCTTATATTGCGCGAAGCGACTGTGCGTACGTGATAGAGCAATGACGTAGCATGGCGCATGCACTAACGGTACTTCCCGCGTTCTCACAGTAGCATCGTTGCAGCTGTTGAAGATGGAGGTTCTTATTCCAGCCCCCGCCGACTGTGAAGTGCGGTCAGTGATAACGCTAGGCCGCACACGGCTCGACGGACAGCAAGTCTCCTGCAGAAGTTCAGCTGGGAGGTGTTTAATCATTCACCCTACAGCCCGGACCTCGCTCCCAGTGATTTCCATCTTTTCCTACACCTCAAGAAATTCCTGTCCGGTCAGCGTCAGCGTTTTGAGAATGAAAGAGAGGCGGAGATGGTTGTCACACAGTGGTTCCAATCCCAGGCGGCAGACTTCTACGACACAGGTATTCAAAAGTTGGTCCCACGGTATGACAAATGTCTCAATTCCGGTGGCGAATATGTTGAAAAATAGCTGGACACTTGCTGTATCTGTTGCAATAAATATGTCCATGAAATTGTGTTTTGTTTCTGTAAACGGCCCCAGGGAAACTTACTTTGTGGACGAGCCTCGTATGATTTGATGTTTCACAGCGGTGAGTATCAAGATTTCTGTCTTCTGGGTTGTTGAGATGTGTAGTGTGGTAGATGTTTACAACGTTTCAGATGAATCGCCCTGATGACGGAGGCAGTATGACCTGAAAAACGTTGGTTAACATCGACCAGACTACACAGCGCAACAACCCAGAAGACAGAAATCTTCATACTCATCGCCCTGATGATGGAGGCAGTATGACCTCTGAAACGTTGGTTAACATCGACCAGACTACACAGCGCAACAACCCAGAAGACAGAAATCTTCATACTCATCGCCCTGATGATGGAGGCAGTATGACCTCTGAAACGTTGGCAAACATCGACCAGACTACACAGCGCAACAACCCAGAAGACTGCCATCCTCAAAATAAATACTGCAGCATATACATTAAGGTTTTACCGTGTTTATCGTCTCACATTATCTGATTCGCTCTATCTCGGTTATGCCTCTGGACCGGGTGAATGGATTCCATTGTTTTTTATATTATTAATGTGGAATGGAAATACGAAAATGTTTTCGACATTTTTCTCTCCATATACGTACCATGTGTACATTTTCCAAGCATATTAAATGTATGCCATCCTCTTCATTAATTGTTTGTACCTACTACTTGTATTTAGTGTGATGCATGATAGCAAAAATTTTTAAAGTACGACATTCTGTATTAAAATGACTTATGCGGTCAAGACGTCGATGTTGGTCTTGTGAACATGTAACCCTGGAGATGGAGGCGTTGTGTTTCTGTTTACAAGTCCATACGGCGTTACAACCCAGAAGAGCACCGTTAACGATTGTTAAGAATTTTCCGTTCCTAAATTTTTAAACAACTAGAGAAGAGCGCTCCTTTCAGAGCGCCTCGGGAGGGGTTTGGTCAAGTTTGTAAAACGCAACCAACCTTGTGTAAGAAACTAAACTAACCCCCCGGAATGCAGGGTTAAAACACTTGACCAACCCCCTTTCGCGGGGGTGGTAAAGTGTGGGGTTGGTTGCGTTTTAAAATCTTTTGTAAGACACTAAAGTAACCTCCCCTTCGGGGGGGTTAGTTTAGTGTCTCATTCAAGTGTTTTAACTCTTGAGTAAGAAACAAAACTAACCCCCCCCCCCCCAAAGGGTGGTTAGTTTTGTGTCTTATCCAAGTGTTTTAACCCTTGAATGCGCAGTATGACTTGAATGAGTATTATTATCAGTATCAGATT